GCCCTTGACCCTGAGCTGAGGGACCTTGTCCTTCTCCAGAGACCCTGTCTGTGACCCCCTCCCAGCTCCTCTCAGTCCCCCTGGGGGTGTCTTTTATCTCCATGGCCCTCACCCCCTTTCTCACTCCCTCCCATAGGCCTCTGCCCAGCTCAGCCTCTGCTCCAGGCCCCTCTCCTGGACCCCATCACCCCCAGGTGACCCTGGGCCAGAGCCCTGAGCGGACCCTCAGGACAGGGGCAGGGCTGGCTCCTCACCTGCCACCAGGATGTCCAGGGGGCGCTGGGGGCCGACCATGCAGAGGAGAGGTTGTGTCCACTGTAGCATCTGTACCGGCCCCCGTGGGTGCGGTTCACGTGGCCCAGGGGGAAGTCGGGGCTGTGCTGCCCCTCAAGGCGCTGAGGGGGTGTGAGCCCCTCGTCCTTGGTCAGAGCGAATCTGTCAAAGCCGGCCTCCGCGTGGCACTGGAGGGTCAGGCTGTGTCCAGGCAGCACCAGCGAGCCTGGCTGGGCCGAGAGGGCGGGCTCCCTGTGCACACCTGGGAGGAGGGGACAGTGGCACCCAGGGGACACCCCACATCGCCCACTGGGCTGCAGTGAGAGGTCTCACATGTCCCTCCCTGAGCCTCCCGCCTGTGGGTCTGTCCCCAAGAGGCCAGTGTCACGGACCCCCATGAGCCCAGGGCCCCAATGGACACACAGCACAGTCATTTGGGGCCCAGGAAACAGATGGGGTTGCACAGGGGTCTGTCCCTCACCTGTGACCTCGATGTGCAGAGGGTCACTGGGCTGTGACCACACGTTGGGGTTGGAGCTGGGAGAACCATAGCATCTGTAGGTCCCCCCATGGGAGGGGCTCACGGGGCCCAGAGGGAAGATGGCCTGCGACCAGCCAGCATAGGTCCTGGGTTCTGCTTCCATGTGTCGGGGCGGGTCAGCCCCTCCCTCCGTCAGCAGATGGAAAGTGCCAGATGTCTGTGAGCTGCAGGAGAGGGACACGTTCCCTCCTGAGGCCACCACAGGGCTTGGCTGGGCTGAGAGGGAGGGTGCAGGGTACACTCCTGAGGGAGGAGAAGATCTGTGTTAACGGGACCGTCACCCTCATGCCCCAGGTGTGTTCTGTGAGGGGTGGGTCCCCCTGAGGCCACACTGTATTCCCTCTGCCTGGGACCCGGAGCCCACAGTGGGGAGGGACCCGGTGTCTCCCTTACCTGTCACCACCAGGAGCAGGGGGTCACTCCGCTCCGAGAGTATGTTCCCAGGGGTGTAATACGCACACAGGTACAGCCCTGCGTGGGATGGGGTCGTGGCTTCAGTGAGGAAACCGGCCCTATTGCTGGAGTCCTGTGGGTTCCTCGTTTCCAAGGGGCTAGAGCCCCTCTCTTTATGCAGAACATAGGCTTCAGCCTGCAGAGACCCCTGACACCAGATGGTCACAGGGCTCCCCCGGGTGACGATGGGGCCTGGGTCAGCCCAGATGGAGGGTTTGGGGACGACCCCTGGAAAGAAATCAGACCTGAAATATCAGGGGCATCCTTCTCCCCCCTTTCCCGACCTGTCACCCCAAGGCCCCTCCCAGATTGGTCACCATTATCCCAAACCTGTGTCTCCCCAGCTGCCCAGGAGGTGACTGTGCTAAAGCAGGAGGTCAGGGGGAGGACTCACCTGCCTGTACCTGGTCCCATGGGCCCTGACACAGACTTGGAAGAGAGTCCCTGTGAGAACCGTCCCCGACTGCACACAGAAGCTCCGGGCTTGGTCTGGGCCCCTGAGCACTGGGGGCAGACCTGGGACTGAGCAAGTCTCCTCTCCCCAAAGTCCTGTCCCCACTGAGCCTCCTGAGTCCTGAGGTCTCACAAGGCCAGGACCTGGGAGGGGCGGGGACCCCATCCCTCCTCCTTTCCCCACAAACTCACCAAGGCCCAGGAGGACAATGAAGGTCAAGGTGGTGGTGCTGTCTGCCATGGTCCCCATGGTACTGATGATGGATAAAGTCCACAGAGCCCAGCAGGACAAGCAGATGCATGGGTGTGACAGGGTCCCGGCTCCGGGTGACAGGTCCCTGTCTCCTCATCAGCCTCACTCTGCTCTCTCTGAAGCATGGCTGAGGACACAGCAGGTCCCCGGACCTTCAGGACCAGATCTGAGTCTCAGCAGACCCCCACACTCTGCCTCCACCTCCTGTCCAACTCCAATCCAGAGGGTGACCCTGGTCCCAGTACACGAGGGTGCAGGGTGCAGGGCAGAGCAGAAAGAAACACCAGCTCCTGCCTCGTACCCGAGTCTGTGTGACCTTGGGAATGCCCTTCTCTTTCCTGAGACTCCACAAATGCACACTTTCCCCCGTCCTTTCACCATCCTGTCAGCACAGTGATGGTTACTGAGTTGTTAGCCCACCCCTCCTCCCTTCCCCAGAGCTCACTGAGGTCAAGAAGGGCAGGGAGGTTCTGGGTCAGGGTGCTTCCTCACATGGTCCCCAGTGTGCAGGTGACATAAACTCCACAGAGCCTGGGGGAAAAAGGGAGGAATGAGGTGTGACAAGGTCCAGTCCCCAGGGGATACATCACGGGTTCATCAGTGGCCACACAGGAAAGGAAGTAGCTCCTCCCTGAAGGGTGGGCCCTAGGGGACAGCAAGCTATGGGACCTCTGAGACTGGCCTGAGTCTCACCAGACCCCACCCGCTCTGCCTTCACCTCATGCCAAACCCAAATCCAGAGGGTGACAGCCGTCCCAGGTGATAAGGGTGGAGGAACGGGGCAGGAGACGACCCCACCCAATTTCTGGCCCAATTCTGACTCTGCCTTTTCTAGAACCTCTGTGAGCTTGGGTAAGACACTTCCTTTTCCTGAACCTCTGTAAATGCAATTGCTCTTCCCTTCTCTCACTGCCAGGCAATCAGGCAGTACTTACTGAGCAATAACCCTGGGCCGTCATTGGCCAGGCAATAAGGCAGTATTACTGAGCAATAACCCTGGGCCGTCATTGGCCAGGCAATCAGGCAGTATTACTGAGCAGTAACCCTGGGCTGTCATTGGCCAGGCAGTATTACTGAGCAATAACCCTGGGCCGTCATTGGCCAGGCAATAAGGCAGTATTACTGAGCAGTAACCCTGGGCCGTCATTGGCCAGGCAATCAGGCAGTATTACTGAGCAGTAACCCTGGGCTGTCATTGGCCAGGCTCTGGAGAGTCGTACCTGAATCTCAGGTATCCCTTCCCTGCACAAATGGGGCAGAGATGAATGAAGCAGATGTTACAGATATTTAGGCAGCAAACAGTTCGGTTACAGTCTCATGTACACGTTGGGAGAATCCAACTTGGTCATTTATGGCTAAGGTTCAGGATCTGAAGAAGGGGCCACGCACAAATGAAAACACTAGACAAGAAATATGAATTTAGAAGGCATGGGGGCCAGGTGGAAACTTTCCTCTAGTGGAGAAGCTCTCTGAAACCCTGGACCTGTCAGCTTCTATTCAATTTTAGATACACATCTTGCCCTCATTTAGGCACAGCAAACGGGTAGCAGACAGACTATCTCAAAAAGATCAGTAAAGATTTACGTTGAGGTTATTAGGTCAGGAAATTGCTTCGAGCCATCATTATCTCAACACAGAACAATCGGTGCATAGCTTTTAGCCCTGCTAAAGCTCAAGGTTCATCAGCCTTCCGAGTTCCTTGATCACTCTCATGATAATGTTGACAATGGATGACTTCCCACATTTCCCCCTTTTTGTTTTCTTAATAAATCTTGAAAAGTGTATGCCGTCTGTAGGGCCTGAGTCCTTTTAAGACTCTTCATTCCGCATCTGCAGATTAGAAATAAACATATAAGAACAAGAATGAGACAGGCAATAGTGGTTATGCTAAGAGACAAATGTAAGGAGATCCAGTGAAAGGGATTAAATTCTTTCATGTCCTTTTTAAATTGCTGCCAGGCATCTAAGGAATTAGTTTGTAAGTTTGCCTGGGATAATTGTACAATATGCTGTTGTAATTCTAAAATATCAAGGGTTGTGTTACCTTTACCCCAAGCACCAAGAAGGCGATTTTTTATTGATTCCCAGGGTGTAAGGTACTATTATAGGGAACGGGGGTAACACAAATCTGGGAAAAATTACAATGACACTGTAAGGATATTCTTTGCTCTACGCTGTGGATTTTATCACCCACCCACAAGACTGTAGACTTTAGTGCTGATAATTTTATCTCAACCTGGCTGTCAATTCTTTTTTGTATAGACAAGGTCTTAGTTACATTTTCCTTAACTTGTTGTACAAATTGAGAAGTTTGAACAGTTTTTACCATGGATGAAGTAGCAATTCCCACAGAAGTAAGTAACAATACGAGAGCAAAGAGTCCTGCAATTAACATTCCAAGAAATCTTTTTTGTCGTTTTAAGATTTTTACCAGGTCATGTAACAGTTGGTAGGTTTGATGAGATTCCCAAGGCTCAGTTAGGTTAGTAGGAACCCAAGTGAAAGCAGGTTGTTTTAAAATCATGAGAGAATCTTTTTGGAATGTAGAATTAATACAATGGGATAGTGTGCAGCCTGTGCATGACACCTCATACAAATGGCTTGTCTCATTAAGGCACATCTGGATGGGGCCTGAGAGGAGTACAAAAGGATCAAATACACAAGTGGTGGCAAATACTGTCTTATTGGAAGTTCCCCATAAGTTACAAATTGAATTATCTGAGCTATAGTTAAAACTATACCATTTTATAGGTGCAAGTGCAGCAGCTAATTTCCATTGTGTATTTTGTACGGGCCAATTGTCATGTTGTAGTTGAGATCCAACAAATCCTCCTCCATACCATGAGATGGAGTGATTAGCTTCAACATATAGATAAGATGCGGTCCCCTTCCATTTTAGGGTGCAGTTGTTACTATACGCAGACCTGTAGAGGCTCCAATCCACAAAGGAAAAACTGTTATTAAGTTTGCTACTGGTGGCGTGGTCACTATAACAGTCTTGCCAATTAATTTCTTCCTCAGTGGGGTGCCATTCATAAAACTTTTTACATAATGGCTTAGTGGGGGGATGTCCTAGTAATGTTACATTTTCTGTACCTCTCCCAGGAGCAAGTAGTGATAGTAGATGTATTTGGGCTTTTGCTTCCCCCTCCTTTGGTGGCCATGCAAGCCAAAAAACTCTCTTTAATTCTACACACACAGGAGCAGTAGTTGGATTCTGTGTCATACAAAAGGGAAGCTGGGTGGCGACACCCATGTAATTATACTTTGTCCATACACTTCCTTGTCCCACCTGTGGTCCTCCTGGATGACCAAGGTGCTTGCTATTATTGGTGACTGCACTAGGCAGGGGATCAGCCCAAGTAAGGGGTCTTACCCATGGAGGGACAGGGGCATAAGTCCAATATACTTCCCCATTTGCCCCTGGTAGTATTACCACACAGCTGGTGACTGCTAGCATGACAAGAAAACGTCCTTGGGCGTTCTTGGGGTTTTGGTCTCCTCACAAATTCACTCAGCTTTCTGGACAGTCTTCTTCCCCATCCCCCAGGTCATCTCCGGACTGTTTGTTGTCTCTCTCATTCTCCTCCCACTCCTTATCTTCAGCATGTTGCTTGGGGCTACTGCTATCTGTGGCTGGAGTAGTCGATTGTCTGCAGCTCCAGGTGCAAGGTCTTCATTAATCTGATCAGTTCCTCCCTTGGATCCATGTTGAAGTTTAATATTTCTTACAGGAATCCACATGGGCTTGGAGGAGTTTTCTGGAAATACACAAGCATATCCTTGATCAAATGTTAACAAGGGGTCAGGGCCCTTCCATAAGCCAGACTTGGGATCTTTCCATTTAACCAGACCATTTTCCTTAGCTTATTCTGACACCAGTGTAATTCCATGGGTGTCTTGCCTTCAGCGTTACAAGTGAAAAAAATTAAAGTAATTAAGACTTGATGTAGTTTACTTACAGGAGATTTCACCACTATTCCCCCTTTTTGTTTTTCAAATTGGACACATGGAAGTGGGACATTCCTTGATAATCTGTTTCGCCTGCTGTCGAGTTGTTGTATCGCAAATTAGCAAGCTGGACAAGATGCCTTAATCAGCCAATAGTTAGGAGTCATCTTTATTGCATGCAGGTTCAGAGCAGATTACCTCTGTCAAATTCTGAACAAACACAGGAGGGAGTATTTCCTTTTTATATCCTTCTAGTTCTTTGTGTAAAACAGCTTGTAACCTTGAATACATATTATATCTAATCAAACACCTGTAATATCTATACAGACAACTTGTAACTTTGAGTACATATTATATCTAATCAAACACCTGTAACCTTGGATGAACAAACACTTGGCAGAATATGTGAATTAATATAGTGTATCAGCCCCTTTAGATGGCTAGCTTGCAAGGTCAGACAGTTAAGTTTATCTTTTCTATTCAAGCAAAAAACAAAGTTATATTTTATAGAATAAGAGACTATCTAAAAATAACAGAGTAGTTCAAACAGCAATTTTAAACAGCAGTTTTTCAAAAGGAGGTACTGTTCCAGAGTAGGAAAATGTTTAGGCCTGCTTAATTACCGAGCCACCTCAGCACCTTGGCAGCCTGTGCAAAGTTTCTAGGAACTGAGCTCACACACCTGAGCGACGGCCCACAAAGAACAAACAGACCAACACTCCTGAGCAACAGGCCCACAAAGAACAGACGGATCAAAATTAAGAATAGTCCTGACCTTTAAGTTATCCAGAAATGAATAACAGGAGGAGGATGAATAGCTTGGCTAAAACTACGCAATTGGCTTTTGTAACTTGGCTTTGCTTGCTATGGGAACCTGAACACGGATGTAGTTGTCCCCTTTAAATATTGGACCCTGCAGATGGTCGTGGCCGCTTCTCTCTTGGGCTTCCCGAGTGGAGGAGAAGACACCGGCCAGTCAATAAAGGCTCTCTAAATTGTAATCAGTCTGGAGTTCTGGTCATTCTGTCACTCGCGCTCCACGACAGTACCACTGTGCTTCAGAGTGAATGAAAATTGTTTAGACAACATTTTGGCAGGCTGATGTAAAAGGTGATGAAATTCTGTCGCCTGTTTTAATAAAGCAACCAATTGATCCCTATATGCATTTCCTTTTGTTAAAGAACCAGGACCTGTTTAAATAGTATAAATAGACTTTGGTCACTGAGCCATTTTAATCGAGCAGTTTCAATTCTGTTTACCAGGCCAGCAGCATAGGCAGAATCAGAAATAATATTACGAGGCTCTTGGAAATCCTGCAATGCAGCCTCGACAGCTTCTAATTCAATGCTTTGCACAGAAGTGTGACTGGTCTAGATGACTCAGTCTGAATTCATTGCATGATAAGCAGC